GAATCCAAATGGGCCCAGTGGTGGGAGTGGGAATGAGATAATTGGATGATCTTAACACCTTGAGTGACAGCCAGACAGCTCCACCTCTATGGTGGGCACAAACTTGTAGAATATGCCAGATTTTTAAGTTAATGGACAAAGAGTCCTGTATCTTAGTGCTAGAGGCATACTGCTGGTTTTATTCTATTGAATGCTCCCTTTATGACCATTTTGCAGATCATCCTAATTCTTTTAGCACACACTGTTTTCAGGCAAGAGTATAATACATCTGTTAGATGTGCTTTCTTAGCTATGATCACAGCTAATGCATGTTTTTAAAAAGTTTTGGAGTTGGAGTTAGGAGAAAGTCCTAGTCAAGACAGTTTCTGGTAACATCCAGTCATTATCACTTTGAGAAAGTTACTAAGCACTTTAGTTTTAATGTCGGTTAAATTAACAGTTTGAATCTAGCAATGTTCTAAGGCAGAGGTCTGCAAACCTTTTCAGTAAAGGGATACATAGTAAATATTTTAGACTTTGCAGGCTAAGAGGCAAAATGGAGGATATTATGTAAATACCTTAATAAGTAAGAGAAAAACTCTTGTTATGCCCTACCTCATTTGCCTGGGGTAAGTCATCCTGCATGGTGGGCATGCTTTGTGCTCTGTTGTTATCAGCTGGAGACATTCTTGGGACAGAGCAAGAAGGGACATAGTGGACAGAACAGGCAGAGTAGCCACCATGTTTAATTTCACTCTGTCACAGTGACACCCAGGTTCCTGTGTACCCTTCTTTCCTCCCAGAGAACCCAGCTACCTCAACAAATTTCAAAGAATTGCTAGTATGCAGATCACATCTGTGATCCCCCAGAACAAAACAAAAAGCTAGAAAAACTTTGTAAGTTGGAAATAAAGGACTTCCAAAATAGCATGAGAGCCAAAGAAGAAATCAAAATGGACATTCAAATTAAAAGGACTATGTAACTACTTACAAGGTAGTAAAAGTAAAAAGAGATAAGAAAATATAATACATTAAAAGGAAAGAAAGGAATGAGAAAAAGGAAAGGAAAAACAAATAGATCAATATAACGGTAAAAAGAAAATTTGTTTTAAATCGTTAGATATATTAAAAACAAATGGAGTCAATGGTCCTAAAGAAAGGTAAAAGTTGTCAGACTGACTATAAAAACAAAATTCCACTATATGTTATTTACATGAGAACTGTCTAAAGTTGAGAAAACATGAACCTTGAAAGTAGAATCATGAAAAGTAACATACGAAAAAGGCAGAGCACATAAAGGAATGCTGATATAGCTATATTAAGATTAGAAAAAAATATTCTGTAAGCTAAAGACATTACTGGAGAATAAAAGGATTATTATAATGAAAAGTTGTGTCAACAAAACATAGTAACTTTAAATCTGTATATACTTAGTAATGTAGCTTCAAAAATATAAAGCAAAAACAGAATTGCAAGAAGAAAAAGATTCTGTGATAATGAAAGAATTGTAATGCCTCTCAGTTTTGATCAGGCAGATTTTTTAAATGGTATATATAAGATTTAACAACACAAATAATGTCTTTATTACATACGTGTCTTATATAATAGACATATATGTAACAAAGCAATAGACACATAACAAAGCACCTCACAGTTGTAAAATACATATACGTTTCAACACTCACAGAATACTTATAAAAGATGTTTCAAGGTGTAACCTAATTATTGATATTGAATTAGAAATTAAAGTCTTAGCCTTTCAACAGCAGAGCTTCATATTTTGGTATATTAATATAAATTGCTTTTCCAGTTGAAATAATGTTTCATATTTACTAAATGTAGGATTTTCTCTACGTAAGTTACTCTATGTAAGGTATCTCTTATCTGTTCACTCTTTAATTTGGTAATAAACTAATAGCAGACTGAGCACTGCATGACAGTTTTCCCTTCAAAATTATAATGGGAAATGTATAGTAAGATGATCATGGATTCTTGAATTCTTTCTAAGCCAGTAGATCTGGGATATGGGGAAAGTTACTTAAGATCTCTAAGGCTCATCTATAACAAATTTAAAAATATAGTATCTACCTTGTGGACATGAAGTTCGTGAGGAATAACATGAGATAATGTGTATAGAGTACTCAGTACCAAGCAAATTACTACTGCTTTAAGTGTGTTTACTATTCATAGGATGTTTACTTAGCCTCTGTAAATTATTAGTGCCAAACTAAGCGAGACTTTTAATTCCTAAGACATATGATTAGTTATTACCTTAAAACTCTTATTCATATTGCCATTGAGCAGTTATAGGTAACTAAGTCTCCAAATTTTATTTTATTGCCATTGCTGGCTCTTTTTCCTTCTGACCTATGGGAGATAAAAATAAGAAATTAGGAGAAGACAGTGGGCACTCAAAGAATTTCAGCTCTTGGATCAGCTTCCTTTCTTAGATTTCAGAAAACTTAATACTTTAGTTGGCCATATGAATGTTATTTTGTACTTTGATCTTGACCTAACAAAATGCACTTTTGCTTTTACTGATACTCCCTCTGGTATTTTCTTGAATACATGACCAGCAATAAGTTTTAAAGCAGTGGTTGGTTGTGGTGGCATATGCTTGTAATCCCAACACTTTGGGAGACTAGGTGGGTATATCACTTGAGCCCAAGAACTCAAGAGCAGCCTGGACAACATGGCAAAACCCCATGTATACAAAACGTCAGCTGTGTATGGTGGCATGTGCCTATAGTACGAGCTTCTCAGGAGGCTGCTGTGGGAGGATCACCTGAGCCTGGACAGGTTGAGGCTGCAGTGAGCCATGATTGCACCATTGCAATCCAGCATGGGTGATAGAGTGAGATCCTGTCTCAAAAGAAAAAAAAAAGAAAGTAAGTTTTAAAGCAAGACTAAGCCCAGGTCTGAAGGATGTATACCTTTTTTTTGAGACAGAGTTTTGCTCTCGTTACCCAGGCTGGAGTGCAATGGCGCGATCTCGGCTCACCGCAACCTCCGCCTCCTGGGTTCATGCAATTCTCCTGCCTCAGCCTCCTGAGTAACTGGGATTACAGGCACATGCCACCGTGCCCAGCTAATTTTTTATATTTTTAGTAGAGACGGGGGGTTTCACCGTGTTGACCAGGATGGTCTCAATCTCTTGACCTCGTGATCCACCTGCCTCGGCCTCCAAAAGTGCTGGGATTACAGGCTTGAGCCACCGCACCTGGCCTGAAGGATATATATCTTGTCATCTGGCCAGGTGCAGTGGCTAACGCCTGTAATCTCAGCACTTTGGGAGGCCGAGGCAGGGGGATCATGAGGTCAGGAGTTCTAAACCAGACTGGCCAACATGGTGAAACCCCCATCTCTACTAAAAAATACAAAAATTAGCTGGACATGGTGGCTAGTGCCAGTAATCCTAGCTACTTGGGAGGCTGAGGTAGGAGAATTGCTTGAACTGGGACCAGGGAGGCGGAGGTTGCAGTGAGCCGAGACCACACCACTGCACTCCAGCCTAGGCTACAGAGTGAGACTCCATCTCAAAAAAAAAGACCTAAATCCATATTAGAATTGTTTTATTCCTAAAGGAGTATAGATTTTATATTCTGAGTTAGATAGAAATTCTGTAAAATGTTTATGTAGAATGTGCTTTATTTACAGCTTTTAAAGGTTTAGCAGTCGTGTATCTGAGTCATTAATGAAACAAAGCTGTCTCTAGTGGAATTCTTTAGGACTGACTGTTGAATCTGTTGTTAAACTAGGACTCTTGGTTGGGCTGAGCAGTGTGGCTCACCAGTAATCCCAGTGAAACAGGAAAAGTTCCCTTGTCCCCCTCCTGGGGAGAGTGGCTCACTTCTTCAGTGTTCTGCTGCTCAGACCTCTAATGGGAGCATGCAGATGGGACTCTGATCCCATGGCAGCATCTGGGGGTGAATGCATACAGCTCCTGAAGCCCCAGTGGACGTATATTGCAGTGTGCTCTTTTAGTTTTGCCATCTGTAGGCAGTTTGTATTAGTCAGCTCAGTTAGGCTCTCTGCCTTACTGCAAGGACAGAGGGCTTTCTCTATCCCACGTTCTTGCATTGGTGTACTGAAAAAATTAGATCAAATGTGGACTGGGAGAATGAGTGCAAGGTTTTATTGAATAGTAGAAGTAGCTCTCAGCAGATGTATGGGGAACCACAAGGGGTATGGAGTGCGTAGGTGGTTCTCCCCTGGAGTCTGGCCGCTCTTGGCCAAACTCCCTGTCATCCCACCATAATGGCCTGCTGGTGTCTGCCAATGTGTTCCTCTTGATGTCCAGTCACTTATGTGTTCTTCTGCTGATGTGTTCCTCTCAACATCTAGCTACTTGTATCTACCTGCTAGGGTCTCAGGGTTTTTATAGGCACAGGATGAGGGCATGGCTGCTAGGGTGGTCTTGGAAAATGCACCATTTAGGCATGAAAACTGAAGTGCCTATTCTTACCTAGATCTGTGGGCACAGACTTATGGGTGGAACTCTAGCCAGGGACCATGCCCTTCTCTGCCCAGCACTTTCCTGCCCCTCTCCTATATCACCGACCTTTTGGGAGGCCAGAACAGGAGGATTACAAGCCAGGAATGCAAGTCCAGCCTGGGCAACGCAGTCAGACCCTATCTCTACAAAACAATAAAAAAATTAGGTGTGGTGGATATGTGCCTATAGTCCCAGCCACTTGGGAAGGCTGAGTTGAGATGACCACTTGAGCCCAGGAATTTGAAACTCCAATGAACTGTGATCAAGCTACTGCACTCCAGCCTGGGTAACAGAGTGAGACCATATCTCTATGCAAAAAAAAAAAAGCAAACCAGGACTCTGACAACTAGTCCTAGTTGCCAGACTAGTAAATATATGTACAAATTAGTGTTTCCAGATTGCAAAGTTGTCATTTTCTTTGCAGACATTTTTTGTGATTCAGTTATGTATGTTTATCAAAGAGATTATGTTTCAGAAACAAAATCTTATTAAAGCAGTTTCTTATAATAATGTTCTCCACTTTTAGATTACTTCTCTAGTGACCCTTCAGCTGTTAACTCTGGTTGGCCATGACGATCAGCTTGATGGACCAAAATACAAATGCACAGTGTCTCTGGATTTCATCAGAGCTATTTCAAGGTAAAATGTCTTGAAATATGTAAATGATATACTAAATATAAAAATTAGTATTCTTCCTAATCTAATGTCATTAGTCACTTAAACAAGAAAAAATCATTTATTTAAGTGCCAAGAATGAATAAGCTATAATACAGAATGAACCTTCTCAAATTTACAAATGACATAAAATTGGGAGAAATAGCTAATATGTTAGAGGACAAAAATCAAGATTCTGGAAGACCATAATAGCCTGGAATAAATGGTCCCATAGTAGCAAGGTAAGATTTAACAGACAGTTGGCTACAGAAAACTCTCTTCTATTGCAATAAGATGGGACAGAGCTGGCTTAAGTCCTACATTTTTTAGCTGACTACAAGGCTTTAAAAATCCTGACTTAGGTAACACTGATAGAAATGCAGTGTCTAGGTCAGGGGACATAATCATTCTACTGTGTGTTGTCACAGGCCCATCATATCTGGTGTGCTATGCTGTGTTTAGAGTTTTCAGAGAGACTAATGGATAAATGCTGAAGGGGCACAATGAGAATGGTAGAATAAGGAATGTGTCACCCCTGACTGAAGGACACAGTGTGAGAGAAAAGCCTTAGGAAGGACATGTGACCTGTCTTAAGTATTTCAGGGGCTGTCAGGTGCAAATGGATGAAACTACTTCTGAGTAATTCTAACGTGTTAGAAGTTCTGGGGAAGAAAGTATGTTTGTCAAAATGAAAGCTGTCTAAAAGTATGAGTTTTCTTACAAAGAGGTATACTTAGTGTTGTGGAAAATGTTCAGACTATTTATATGAATAAATGACTTCATCATACAGTTGCATCTGGATAATGATCTGTCAGGACTGTAATGGAAGAGGAGATGCGTATGTAGACGGGCAGGTTGAACCGGGCAATCCATAGACAGTGTGTTCCTAACCTTTTTGAATATGAAGATTCCATTTTAGCATCTTTTAAAAATTAGTCATGGAAGTATTTACATATGTTTCAAAATTAACAATATATAGGCATGAGACATTATTTTGTTCAGCCTAAAAACAGCGCTTGATATCAGTATAGATTTTCAGATCTCCTCTGATGATTAATTTTATAGCTTCTTGAAATTTTGAAGTCCATAGGTTGTCAGGCTTCTCCCTGAAGTCTCTTCTGAATTAAAAGTGCTCTGACAAATAAATAAATGATAAATGAATTAATGAATGGGCAGGTACAGTGACTCACACATGTATTCCCAGTAGTTTAGGAGGCTGAGGTGGGAGGATCGCTTGAAGCCAGAAGTTCAAGACCAGCCTGGGCAATGTAATGAGACCCTCATCTCTACAGTGTAGTGATAATATGATGCAGGTATTTGCCACATTTTTGTGGCATATAGGCTCTAAAGCATGAATTCAAGGGTTTTAGTATTTCATTTTAATAAAACCAGACAAACTTTTACACAGAAAAAATTGAATAAAAACTTATTTTTTAGTGTGTTAAGTATGATTATAAAGCAATTACTTCCTTTAAATTCTATATCTAAGAGCCTCTATCCAAGGCATAACTTTGGAGTGAAGCCTGTTTATTTCAGGGATTTTATTATTACTCTGAATGTCTTAGGTTGTGCCCCAACATAATCATGTGCAAATCAGAAGTTTGTGGATTCCTATTATAGTGAACATACATTGACTCACATTTAATTTGGTGTTACTTAGTACAGAGCTTCACAATGATGGATGTCAAACACATCCAGAGACATGCACTTTCATTTACCACTTAGCAGAAAGCAAGAACTTTAGACCTGGAATCTTGCCATAGAACTTGGACACTCTGTAACTTCCTTTTGTTTCCTTTACTGTTCCCTACTTCCTGTGGGCAATGTCCAAAGAATAAGCACCCACTTCTCCCTACACCTGCCCTCTTCTGCTCTCTCATCACTGTGTTCTGTATTTCTTTTCTGCTGACTGCCTTTCATTGTCTCCCTTCCTCCCATGTTCCTTACTCTTCTCCTAATTGTCTTCCTCACTGCCTTAGCTAAAACCTTATTCTTCTTTGGGACACTACTTCCCCTGGAGTTATCTCTAATTGTAGCTACGTATTTGCTCAAACCCTAATCCCTCAGGGTTGGAGGTCATTTCAGTGTCATCCTTTCTTCCTGTTGCCACTTCCAGACTGTTACTGTCCCCCAACTTCTTATAAAAATGTGGACTTCTTTGAGACTCATGCAACCTGGCTCTATTTCCCTATTCTCCTTAAGACTGATTTTAGTCTACCCAGCCATTCTACCTCATATATTGAAATAATAGGAGACTTGCTATCCAGAGTTCTTTACAACCTAAATTATTATTATTTCTATTTTTTGAGATGGAGTCTTGCTCTGTCGCCCAGGCTGGAGTACAGTGGTGCGATCTCAGCTCCCTGCAGCCCCACCTCCTGGGTTCAAGTGATTCTCCTGCCTCTGCCTCCCAAGCAGCTAGGATCACAGGTACATACCACCATGCCCAGCTAATTTTTTTCAGAGAAAGAGTTTCACTATGTTGGCCAGGCTGGTCTTGAACTCCTGATCTCAGGTTGATCCACCTGCCTCAGTCTCCCAAACTGCTGGGATTACAGGCATGAGCCACTGTGCCCAGCCTCCACCTAAATTCTTGACTCTATTTAAATCACAAATTCTAACGTCTGCGTTCATTCTGTTCAGTCGTCACTCTGTTTCACAGAACAAGGTTGAAACCAACAGTTGAAAATTTAGCTACCTGTGTTGGTGTCCATCTTCCCTTTCTTTCCTTTTTCAGTAGAATAGGGTTTCTCTTCCTAAGGTGGATTCTTCTACCTATGCTCTGAATTCCATCTCCTCCACTTTCCCAGAAACTTTGTTAGTCTCAGGCTATTTGTCCTCTCAGTGGCACCTAACACTGTTGGCCACTCTCTCTTTCTTAAAACTCTCTTCTCTTAGATACGATTCTCATTTTCCTCTTTATTCTTTGGTTGTTTTTACTAACAAAGGTTATCTCTACCACCTCACCTTTAAATATAGCTGTTTCTTGAGGCTTGGCCCTAGGCTCTTTTCTCATAGTAGATTTTTTTTCCCTAGGCAACTTTAGCCACACATGTGACTTCAACAACCATCTGTGTGTTAATAATGCCCCTATTTTTAAAGAGCAGACCTATTTATAATTTCTTGACCTTTATTGCTATTTCCAGCTATATTAATATATTTCCAAAACTGAACTTAGGAATTCTAACCTCTGCTTCCACCCACCAATAGAGAGTGAAATATCTGGCTTTCCTCTAGTGTTTCTTATTTAAGTGATAAGCACTGCAGTCTGCTGTGTTGCCCAGGCCTGAAATTTAAGAGTCCTTCTTGACATCTCTCTCTTCCCCACTCCCAGTATTCAACCATTAATCCTATTGAGCTTACAAAGCCCCTCTTATTTATCTCAATTTCATTTACTTGTGTTATCATGATAGTTTTACCACTCTAGATCAAGCCACCGTCATCTCTTCTCTAGCAGTCTCCTAATTGATCTTCTGTCTACTCTTATCCTCTTGTAATTTATTATCTATGCAATTTAGCGTCACCTCACTCCTTAAAGTATTCAATAGTTTCCCATAGCTCTTAGGATAAATAACAGAATCTTTTAAATAGCTTACAAGGCCCAAATGATCTGGCCCCTATCTGTGCCTAGCCCCATCTAGCACATACTCCCTCTTTCCTCAGTTATCTGTACTTTAACCACTGTGGCTTTTTTTAGTTTCTTATATTCACCATTCTGCTTCCCATACTTACATACACAGCATTTTCCAGCTTCTCTTCTCCTTCACCTAGCTAACTACTATGTAACCTTTAGATTTCACTTTAAATGTCTGCTCCTTAAAGATGCCTTCTCACAATACCACAACCACCATCATCACCCACCCCACACTACACACACACACACACACACACACACACACACACAATTTGGAAGTTCCCTTTTATTCATTATACTTAGCAAGTTTTACTTAAATAATTGAATAATTAGAGTTCATCTTGGTCTTTCTAGAATATAAGTTCATGAAGCTCAAAGCACACTATGTTTTTGTCTATCTCTGTCTTATCCTCAAACCTAGCACAGTGCTTTAAACTTACTATGTGCTAAATAAATAAATATTGCATGTTTTCCTATAGTGATTAGCAGTAAAACTTCACATGAAGGGGAACTATATGAATTTGTTTTTGGGGACAGCAAAAAGGGAGCTCAGGAGAGTCTCATTCCAAATCAAGGCTTGATGGGAGAGGAAGTTCCAAGGATAGTTACCAAAGAAAAGGTTGGCCTCAGTTCAGACACCTGAGAACAAATGATGAGGTAATAAGGATCACAGGATACAACCTAAGTGTCTAAAATAGCAACCAATCCATAGCATCATATATTATACAGTTAGTGAGAATCATACTTTTGAAGGATACTTTGGGAAAATAACTCATGATATGAACTTAAGTGGATATAACAGTTCATATAAAGTTATATATAAAAGAAAACTAAGAAACTGTAAGGGAAGGGAGTAATGGTCAGCAATCAATTGCCACCAAGAATTCAGGCAGAGTTCTCTGATTTAATGATAAAGCAGTTATTTGTAGATTTATCCAGAACACTTTCAGTGGTATAATGACGTAGAAGTCAGATTATAGTGAGATTAAACAGTGTTTATGAGAAAGTAGATGCAGCGAAGAGACATAGTGTTTTTCATTCATTTATTTAACATTTATTGTGTTGCCCATTGTAAACAAAATACTGTGGTAGGCTTTGGGGAAATATAGCAACAAGTATAGCATAGTTACACCCTATTCTTATTAGCCTGTATTCTAGGGGTGTGTGTGCATGTGTGTGTGTGCGCGCGTGCGTGCGTGCGTGCGTGCACACAGCACGCGCTCTAAAGGAAAGAGAGGTGTTTTTTTGGAGACACAGTCTCACTCTGTCACCAAGGCTGGAGTACAGTGGCACAGTGTCGCCTCACTGAAACCTCCGCCTCCTAGGTTCAAGCAATTCTCCTGCCTCAGCCTCCCAAGAAGCTGGGATTGCAGGCATGTACCACTATGCCTGGTTAATTTTTGTAATTTTAGTAGAGATGGGGTTTTGCCATGTTGGCCAGACCTGTCTTGAATCCCTGACCTCAGGTGTTCCACCTGCTTCAGCCTCCCAAAGTACTAGGATTACAGACATCAGCCACTGTGCCTGGCCAAGAGAGAGAGGATTATAACTGCTAAAGGGGTTTTAGGGTTGAGAGAGGGTTATTGTTTATTTTTTAAAGATTGGAGCATATTTAAATGCTGATAGGAAAGAACAGATAAGAAGAGTTCATTAAAGGGAGAAAGGTTAATTTAAAGCATACAATTACTGAAATGTTATATAAGAATGGGATTTAGAATTTGAGTTGCAAGAGCCCTGGATGAGAGAGCAGAATCCTCTTGCATTATAACAAGAGAAAAAGATGGATTCAGATGGAGCTGAATTTGGAGGTTTGGTAGCAATAAGTTGGGAGAGTTCTGATCTGATAACTTCTATTTTCTCTGTGAAGGAGGAGACAAAATTGAGACCAAGGGCAGAAGTCGTAGCAGTTTAGAGAAATCAAACATATGAAATAGCTGCCATGGGGAATGAAAGAAACTGTTAAAAGGAAAGCAGTTTGTTGGTAGTGTTGAGGTTCTTGACCTTGAATTTACAGTAGCACCAATCTGTGAGACTTATGGTCTTCTCCAGCACCAATCTCTGTACTAGAAACTGGGACAGCAAAGAATTATAATTGAAATCACATCTTACTGGGGTTTTGCCAGGTGAGCTCAGTGAATGCTAGCAAGTAACTGCTTGACCTGATGAATCATGGAGTCTAAGGTAGAAAGGGCAGGAAGGAAGTAAAGCAACTCGGGGGCTAATAGTTCAGTGCCTAGTACCTAAATATTCAGTAAGCATTTGTAGATCAGGAAAAAAATGAAGTTTACATTTGTGAGCTGACTGTCCCAACATGTTCCATATAGCAAAAAAGGAAGAAATTGGGTATCATAAAGTAGAATGTCTGAATTTATTTATGTAGAAGTAGAGCATTTCTGAGTGTGATTATGAGAGTGGAAAAGGTTATTGGATGTAAGAAAGAGAAATATATAGTGAAGTCACTAGGCTGACACAGGTCTTGGGATGGAAAGAAAGACTAAACTGTATACTAAATTATTCAGTGACTAAGGGATGGTGACAAAGAGGATAGGGGATGGTGAGCAGAATGGTCTTAATCTCAGAGTAGCAGAGCTTTTTGCACAGGACACCATCCCCACCTGACTGAACTGTCTGGGGTAAACATTCACTGGAAGGAGCTGAAGAAAAGACTGTGACCTTTGTGGGGAGCCCAGCTCCAGTTAAGCCCGGAAGGGGAAAACAACCATTCCTCGAAAAGTAGAGGATATAGAGACTACAGCAGAAAGGTTTGGACAGAGAAGCTGTAGGAAGCTGATTCTAGAATGGGAACATAGAATATGGAGGTAGAGTATGGGAAAAGCCAGATAACAGATGACTGAGAAGCTTATTAAATATTGTCCTTGAATTGTTCTTAATGTGAATGGTAGTTACACATTTTCAGTTGTTTTCTTCCACAGTCATTGGGAAGACTGTAAGATAATTTGTCTAAAGATAAAGTTGTAAGGTTGCAAGTGGTCAGAAAAAACAAACAAACAAAAAAACCCAAACTCAAACTGCCCACAAAAGTAAAAGGAAACAAAATAGTATCCTAAAAGAAAAAAAAGTATTTTAATGTAGAGAAAAAGAATCAACAAAATGAAATAAAAGGATAAAGGCAAAATTAAATCCTTAAATATATACCATATAATTAGCTTGCATTAAAGTATTCTAAATTCTGATTTAAGAATTACCCCTAGGAAAATTGCCACCAACACTATTTGTGTTTACTGTATTTCTTTCCAGCTGGTTACTTTAGAAAATAATTCATTTATCTTTTGTGGGAGAATCTCCTATAGTATATTGAAAGTTACCCCAAAGTTTAAAATTATATTTGCATGACTGTAATATGCGTCTGTGGCCATGAGAAGCCAGAGAACATACATGCAAATTACACAATTCTCTTTGTAAGTAATACCTTTCTTTAAAGAGGATTGCTTGTCTTCAAGTACTTTAAAGCACAAAGTTATCTTTGGGATCTGTGGCATAATTTTTTATGTTACCCCTGTGGTTATTCTAACATAAAGAATATATGTGAGATCAATTGGCAAGTTGCCTATTTTACTTCAGGGTGGAGGAATGGTAGAGATAGTAATGCATCTTGGGAAGTAAATGTTTCTTAAAGGAATGATCTTATATTCAATTCCTGATTAACTTTTAAATCTAAAACTTTTAATTTATGATTAAGTTTTCGTGAATACTTACCACTGACAAAGCACAGAAATGGAATATAGTGAAAGTTTTATGAACATTTACGTTGCTTAGTGTTTTAAAATCACTCCATTCATTCTATTAAGTGTACTGTTACAGTTTGTTTATTGTACGAACTATGCTATAGTAACACAAATAGATTTCTCAAAAAATGGAGAAGTCCTACAAACGTCACAGTATTTTCATTTGTTTGTGCTCTCTTCTAGTACTAGTCCATTAGACAAGCATTTCTCTGCAGCTGTCACACCTTATTTGTAATTCTTTCTTCTCCCTTTCTCCCTTAATATTGCTGGTATATCTTTATATTGATCATTTTGTATGGATGTATAATATTTCATCAAATATATTGTAATTTATGGATTTTCCTAGTATTGGAATTTAAGTTGTTTTTAATCTTACCTGTTTCAAAAACCTTGTTTTCACCAAGGCCAGAAAAAATAAAATTGTAACACAACATTAAGTCCATTTACCATGTCACTTTAGGTTTTTAACTTAAGACCCAAAGTCATTGTGGAGAAATGTGCCTGGAGAGATGTACAAATACCACCTGCCTTTTGTGTTAGTTGTTGAAAGTAAACTACTTTATCTGTTTCCTTTGTATGGTCCTCTAAATAAGATTTTTTTCAATCAGTATCATGATTTTTTTTAAATCATGTGTTGGCCAGGCACAGTGGCTCACACCTGTAGTTCCAGACTTTGGGAGCCTGAGGTGGGCAGATCTCCTTAGGTTAGGAGTTTGAGACCAGCCTAGCCAACATGGTGAAATATGTCTCTTATTAAAAATACAAAAATTAGCCAGGCATGGTGGCACACACCTGTAGTTCCAGCCACTTGGGAGGCGGAGGCGGGAGAATCACTTGAACATGGGAGGCAGAGGTTGCAGTGACCTGAGATTGCATCATTGCACTGCAGCCTGGGTGACAGAGCGATACTCCATCTGAAAAAAAAAAGTGAGAAGTACTTTGATGCTCATAAATTTGTGTGTTTCTAGAGTTGAATGAAAGAAAAACATATAAAGTAGCTTTATGATTTAATAACCATACTTTTTGTGTCTTTATGCCTAAAGTTTTTTTTTTTTTAACTATTTTTAGTTGTTTTTATCAGGATTGTTTTGGCAGTATTTTTATACCATTTGGAAAGGCTTCAGAGAGGCACTATTATAATGAAACAAGGTATTCTTCAGTCAAACATTAGGTAGCACAATAGCCATAGCGTCTCTTTTCAGCTATTTTTAAATGTGTTTTCATAAGCAGTATCTTCAGTTCCCTATTCCACATTTTTAAAAATATTTGATATGTCAGTCATTTGCTTAGAAACTTTTTTAGAACGTATATTGCAAAATGATAGACAAAAACATTAATTGATGATGGTTTAATAAATAAGAGCATGCAATTAGTGAATCTTTAAAAGGCTGTTCTCACATGGATGATTGTTTTTGCAGAATTGAATACTTAAGGCTTTAATTTTATACTTATTGCTAGATCATTATATCCAATTATTTTGACCATTTATTCAAATAATAAACCTCCAAGTCTGAATATTTATAGTGAAGAATGAGTTTAGTGAAAGGAAAATAATTATATGTCTCTGTCTCTGCTATTTTATTCTGCCTGCCATCAGAGTACAAAAATATACATTCACATCGTCTGTTTGTTGTATCGTATTCTTGGATCATACAGATTTAGTTACAATACACACACAGGTCAGCCAGCATTAAAAGACTGAAAAGAATGAAAACTACAAATGAGGACAGATGAGCTATGCATTATGTAATGATAAAACAGGTGTTTCAGAAGATAAACAATGTTCAGAAGCAAAGAAGATTAAATACTTTCGAATGTCTAATTCTAGTTATTAGACAAAAAGCAAAGAGCTTTCAAATGAAGTCTAAACTTTCTATAGTCAATTGAAGTACAGAATGTTGAATAGCTGTAGCTTCATTTACTTTTTTATTAGAAAAGCAAACTTTGTGCATGGCCAAAAAAAAATTTTTAATTCTGTTCCTAATAACATTTAAAAAAATTAATGTCAGTCCTATCGGGGTGCATTTGATAGCACCATAGGATTTTTAGCATTAGTCATGAATTATTTTGTATGTGCTTTCCAGAATCATACAAAGCTGAGCAATCTAGGGGTGAGAATGCTAACATATTATCTGTTTTTGTTTATAGGACGGTGAACTTTGACATAATAAAATACTTGTACGATTTCTTGTGAAAACAAGCTTCAAAGCCATATGGACACTGTGACAATGACTAAGCCAAGCTGTGTTCATCCAATGACTTAGCTGGCCAAGGAGAGGAGTTCTTTGGCTCTATTGGGTTTGTCCAAACAGGTGCTGGCCCAGCATGGAATCTGATGAAAATATTCTGATTGGTCTGGGTGGATGTGAGCAGAAGACTATTTACCAGGGACCCTGGAGTATTTGGAAGCAACGTGTTAATTATAAACAGCAGGGTTTGAGCACAATCTGTTCTACTCTTAATGATGTTATCTTAACACTGAAATTGCCTGAAACCCATTTACTTAGGACTACATTTTGCTCTGTGAACTATCCCCTGCGCTTTGAACGTGCCAGCAGCCCTTGTTTATATGCCCATTCTTTTCACTTCCTCTCCACAGGAGCCTCTACAGTCGCTTGCCAAAGCAGATTTTCCTAAGGCCACTGTTTTAAAAGATCGTAGTTGCAAAATACAATAAATATAAGTTCTTTTGAAAATCCAAGCTTGTATGTGTTTATCTTTTCACTTGCTTTTCTCAAAAGGCAAAGGTAGTTTGATCAGAAGCAGACCAACTTTCCATCTTTCAGCCTACTTGATAACTATGGTATGCTTGTATAAGGTTTATCTCATCACTTTCTAAAAATTAGCTACCCAAACCAGTTCTTTTATTAGTAGTAGTAGTAGTATCATGGTTTTCTTTTCTTTCTCATTTTTAAAATCATTGGCCTTTAAGAGTTTCACAATACATTTTTTTTCTATTATATCACTTGTGAACTTTGGTTCTGATTTTCTTGTCCATATTTTTTTGTCCATATTTGTGAAGAAGTTTTCTTTCAGCATTTGAAGTCTTGAAAAATATTTTGAGCAGAATTAAAATGTTAATTATAGAGCCTAGTTTAAATTTCAGTTGCATTTTATTTCTTCGTTCCTTTTTTTGAAGAAAAATTCCCACAATAGGTACTTTTAATGTAACTGTCTGGTTCAAAGAAAGCAAGTGGTTATCTACTATTTAGAGGTAATGAGTTAGGGAGAAAAGGGATGGAATTCCTTTTGCATCCCTATGTAAATAAGACAGGTTTTTTTGCCCGAAGGTTGACATCCACAGCAAGAGATAGAGCATCCTCACTCTAAGTCTCTTTTCCCACAGAAAATGAAGTTTGTGTTTCACAAGATGTTCAGTGATGCCAGGACCAGGGAAAAGCCATGTATAGTGTGGATTCTGGCTTTGTTTCCTGCCTGTAGAAATCCGTATGTCATCAAGGTATAGAAAACAATTTGGGTAGCTGACTGGAAGAAGAGCAAAGCCACGCAGAATAGCTTTCAACCCCTCATATTTTGTTTTGCAGATGCATGTCTGCTGTGCAGCCTGTCACAGATTGGCAGAACCAGTCTGTATTTTGAGGAAAGGACTCTGGGATATCAGAGGACAGGAGAAATTATCAAATAGGAAACTGAGGAGAAGGATGGAAAGGAGGTGAAGTTTCCTGTAGGTGACTGTCCGTGCATCCTCACTGCTCGTCACCTGTCTCCTGCCCAGTGTAATTCCTCTCCCGTACTGCCCCACCTTATTACCAGCCCTAAATGTGGCTTCCCTGCATAACACATGTAACCAGATTTTCCCTGTCCCTGACTGGGTCATCAGAGCTTCCCTGTTTTGTAATTTACTTTCTAATTGTTTGGTAAATGACTGACTAGCTAATTTGATTAATTTATTTAAATGAAGACTAACAGAGGTTAATATGGATGGTAGCATTTTAACAAGGGTCATCTGCAAGTCGAATTCTCTAATTGGAAGATCTGAATCTTCTCCAATTACAGGAGGGAATCCAATAATGAAAATTACGCTGGCCAGCAGGCCAGAAATTTCTGTTGGGAGGAGGCACTTAAATTACACTCAGCATCTACTCTACCTATATCTGAAAGTGATTTAGGTGGTAGCAGACGAAGTTACTCAGCTGTAGGTGTTTAGACTTTATTTATACATAGATGATCCTCCATTTTACAAATGTCTTCTTTCAATTACCATGAGCTAGGTATGGAGATCTTACTCCCTCTTCTCTTTCAAGTCATTTTGAAGCCTATTGCAAGCTTTCATTGATGCAGCAATTCCTTTCAACAACTCGGGAAGAGATTCTGATCTACCAAGCCTCATCTTACTAGTCACAGAGGGGTCAAAGTCTTGATACCAAGAGAGCAGTTGAGACTCCAGGCTCTGGAATTCTTGGATCAAACACCAGCTGTATTGCTGCTAGCTGTCTGGCCTTAGGCAAGTTATTTAACCTGTCTATGCAACTGTTCTCACCTGTACAATGGAGAAGAGGATTTACCCCACAGTTGTTTACAGGATTAAATACATTAATATATCTAAGGCAGCAGTTCTCAACTAGGGACAATTTTGCCCACCAGCAAACATTTAGTAATTTCTTGGAGACATTTTTGGTTGTCACAACTGGGTGTGGGGTGGGGAAGGGCAAGGGCCAGGGATGCTGCTAAATACACTAGTTCCTCCTATTCATGGTTTTGCTTTCCTTGGGTTCACTTAACCTTCTGTCATCCTCAGACTATGGTCTGAAAATACTAAATGGAAAATTCCAGAAATAAACTTACAAGTTTTAAATCATGTATTTCTGAGTAGTGAGACAAACTCTCATGCTGTCCCACCTAGGATGTGAATTATCTCTTTACCCAGCCTGTCCTTGCTGTCTATACCACCGCCGGTTAGTTGCTTAGTAGTTGTCTAGGTTATCAGATTGATTCTTGCAGTATCTCAGTGCTTGCCTTCAAGTAACTCTGATTTCACTTAATAATGGCCCCAAAGTGCAAGAGTAGTAATGCTGGCAATTCAGATCTGCCAAAGAGAAGCTATAAAGTGCTTCCGTTAAGTGAAAAGGTGTAAGGTCTCAATAAGGAAAGAAAAACGTCATATGCAGAAGTTGCTAAGATCTGTGGTAAGAATGAATCTTCTGTGAAATTGTAAAAAAGAAAAAAAATCATGCTAGTTTTGCTGTTTTACCTCAAACTGCAAGAGTTGTGGCCACAGTGCATGATAAGTGCTTAGTTAAGATGGAAAAGGCAGAAGATGTGAACCAAACTGTGTTTAAATTATGGTAATGAGGTTCAGTACTGTTAGAGGTTTTAGGCATCTGCTGGCAGTCTTGGAACTTACTGCTCCTGTGAATGAAGGGGGACTACTGTATACTAAAATACATGTCTCGTAACAGAATTATCTGACCCTCAAATGTCAGTTGTGCAGAGATAAAGAAATCCTGATCTACGTAAGGTACCTAGCACAGAGTAGTTGTTCGATAAAGCTAGTATTATTATCCTGAAATCTGTATTTGTGGCCTAGAAAGGAGGCAAATAAGGAAATGTGACATTCTTACTAGAAAGAGGCACATCCCTTTTTTACTGTACCTTTACCTCATACCTAGAAAAATTATTTCTTGTTTAAATTCTCAAATGTACACAATACCTTGGATTTCAATTTTTAGAATTGAAGTGTTATCTACTGGGTTCTAATCTGTATGCAGATTTCATTACTTATTTTTCAGTATCCTGTGAGATAGGTCAAAGGTATAGCTGAGAATTATCAGAAAGCAGGTGACTAAGGACTTATATTTTTTGCCCTCAAAGTGTACTGGCTGAACAATTAGTGGTGTATCTCCAACGGATTTAACCAATAATTGATTAATGTAATTAAGATGGTCTGGAGCATGAAAAACTCAGAAGTGTAAGAAGCCTATTCAGTCTCTCCGAAGTATGCATTACTCTGCTTATATATTCCAAAGAAAAATCAGGCCAAGTCCAGGAATAATGCATCTCTTATCACATTAAGTACTCAACAGGTATCAAAAATAGCAGATGAAATTCAGAAACTGTCTCCTGTGTAATCAGAGCTGTAATAGTGTCCTTCATTGCTACCTTAAGTCTCACACTATCATGTACCATAATTGTTTGCATTTTATGCCTTTAGCCATAGGCAGTGGCTTGAAGTTAATTTGACCAAAGGCAGACCAAAGTGTGACTGCCTATCATGTGAGTAGTTTAGATAATTTTGCATGTAATTTCAGTCTGCTGACACAATTTGCTTTCAAAAATGCTTAGTAGAGCTCAACAAAATCTTTTCTATAAAGATAGCAACATTTCACTCAAGTTTGTCATTAAATGCCCTGAATACACAGTTAATGTTCATTTTCCAGCAGTGGCACACATTCATGAGACACAGTATGAGAAGTAGAAATTTGGTAGAGCAGAGAAAATTATAATTAATTCATTCATAACTACATGTTGATGCACAGTAATGATGGGAATTTTAGAAGGCATTCAACTGTTTGAGTAAATAGTTAGCTTTGGTATAATGGAAAGAGCCTGGATTTTAGAAGCATTGGAGATTTGCTTGAATTTTAGATAAACCACAATCCATTTCATTTTTCTTTCAAGGAGTTGAGGGTTCGATTTAATGGCAGTTTACCTAAAAGTGTTTAATGCAACAGATTCTAAGTACTAGCTGTGTGCCAGGCATTGTGTTAAGTAAATGGGATACAGGAGTGATACAAAATGAGAGAGATTTCTGGCCTGGATAATAGGTACTATCAGCATTGGTAGAGTCATTCTCTGAAATAGAAAATCTTGGGGAAGGATTAGGTCTGTAGGGGTGGAGAAGATTATGAGTTCAGTTGCCATTGAAGTGCTTGTGAGAAATCCAAGTGGAAATATGAAACAGGTAGTTGGATCTAGATTGGAGATCAGAGTTGCTGCAAGTATAAATGTAGGCATCATTGGGACAGAGCTGGTTATTTGGTGATTTAGAGGTCTTTTTTTTTTTTTTTTTGAGACGGAGTTTCGCTCTCGTTACCCAGGGTGGAGTGCAATGGCACGATCTCGGCTCACCGCAACCTCCGCCTTCTGGGTTCAGGCAATTCTCCTGCCTCAGCCTCCTGAGTAGCTGGGATTACAGGCACGCGCCACCGTACCCAGCTAATTTTTTGTATTTTAGTAGAGACGGGGTTTCACCATGTTGACCAGGATGGTCTCGATCTCTTGACCTCGTGATCCACCCGCCTCGGCCTCCCAAAGTGCTGGGATTACAGGCTTGAGCCACTTCGCCCGGCCGATTTAGAGGTCTTACTCCTTAAAGTAGTATCCATCACATGGTGAGGGAGAAACCATGTTAAAGTGAATTCAAGAAAATATATAGAAGGTGATCATCACCACTGTTCTTCAAGAACTACAAGTTTTTTTTTCAAGTAACTGTTCCCCCGTATTCATATAATCCTGATTCTCTTCAGCATATGCAGTGGCAGTAAGAGGCATAGCTAAATCTTATTTAGTATCTAGCTCAGGAAGGAAAAATCAAACCCTCTTAGAGTCTTAGTTCTATGGAGAATGTTAGATCACATGGGCTCTCTATGTGCATTCTCCACTTCCTCGTGGCATGGTAACTAGGTTCTGAGGCCAGCATCCCAAGAGAAACTGCAGTTGCTGCATGGCCTTTTCTAACCT